AAAAAAAAAAACCGGAGCAAATATTTATTTTTAGCCGCTGATAAGGAGAAGCGAGGGGATTCCTGGCCCTTACTTTTTTTTTTTTATATCTGTGCATGAGGGAGGCGCCCTCTATGCAGTGTCGCTCAGCCAGTCTGAGCTCATACTCCAGGGCTACAGACATGGTATAGCATCTTTTTTTTCTTTTCTTCTTCATAAATGTAGGTGTGTGTGTGTGTGTGTGTGTGTGTGCAGGAGGGTGTGTTTGGAAAGGAAAGCAAAGTTAAGTAAGTAAGGTGGATTTCAAAACAAAAGCTGCAATAAAAAGGGAAGGGCTGTTTGGGCACAGAGCTGCATGGCGAAGGAAGGGGGGGTTGTATGAGAGGGGTAAGGGGGCAGGCTGCAGTGCTGATGCATGGATGTGTAGTCTTGTACCTACACTAGTTACCAACGGGAGGAGCCATTTGCCTACAGCACTTGAGTGTTTCTACATGTGACTCGCCTGTGCCTTGGAACATTACTGCCACCCTACTGTAGTGGAGAGAGTGCCAGCAGGCAGGAGTGACCATTCCTCTCCTTGTTTACGTCAGTATGTGAACAGAGGAATGTCCAAGCTGTGGCCTATTTACAAAACAGCTCTTTAGTTACTTTCCTGATGACATGCTAACACAGTTGTTGCAGGCACTGTGACTGCTGCCAGCCGGGACTCACTCAAGAGTTTAAATAAATGGCCCATTCATTTATGTGTCAGGCTCTGAATCATTACTATGTTCTTTGACGTCTTATGTATGATTAACACATTAAACACTATCCGATTGCAGCATGTAACTTTGTACTACTTTTTCATTTAAATAGCAGTTTAATCCCCCCCCCCCCTTTTCTAAGTGGATAAACACAAAGCAGATAAAACATATGACCACACACTCAGGATTTGTTTACATCCCTTCCTGTTAACATGTTATGCCGGATTTGGTCTTTATATGCTGACACAAAATGATTTCCACTCAGAAAAAGGAAAATGAGCAGGAACTGGAGGGGATGTGACATTTAGGGAACACTGAGGGACCTGCTGACCAAAACAAACAACACACACACATACTGTACATGTAGACTTGTGGTGGAAGAGGGAAATAAATCGGCTCATGTAGTTTCCAAGGTGTGGTCAGCTGTGTGACTGGTGTCTTTTCATTGGTATTCCCACTTTCCCCTCTATCTGGACACTCTGGAAGAACTTTGGAGTACCTGATTCATCTTATTTACTGTATTAATTATTTCAAATACCTTCAAGTTTTTGTTTTTTTTTAAACAGAAAAAAACTCCTTTAAGGTTCAATTTATTTCATCCATATAAACATATAAACCCCCTCACCACCTAATCAACCAATGCTGATTACCAAAACATAAGAAATACCCATAAATTAAAACAACTTATAACTACATTCAGTAAAACTAGATTTCAACTGAAGTTAAAATTAAAGCTTACATACTCTTTCTGAATTTCTGGTCGTACTGGTTAAACCCCCCTGTGGCATAAAACGGGGTACAACTACAGGTTAACACATTCCTACTAATGTCTACACTGCCTCAAAGGTCCATTTCTCTCTTATGTTGTGCAATAAACCAAAGTGTGAAGTAACTATTTACTCAGGTATTGCACACAAATACAGTTTTGAGGAACTGGACTTTAAATTATTGTTGTTTTTTTCTATTTTATTTTATTTACATGCAAAACATGAGCTAAACAAAACCCTATAAGATACAATATCTGGTACACTGAGCTAAACCTAATATTAATGTAATATAACAGTCCTGCAATAAATCCCCCATCCATTAATAATGAAGTGATATTATAATGCTTAGTTTGATTGAGGTGTTGATTCAATGGTCAGATCATTTTTAGAGGATGTAGTTTGCAGTGCTGTTGAAACCTATTACATTATACAGAGATGTTTGTTAATTATTCTACCCTCGTTGATATAAATGACAGACAAAATAATAGAAACACTTATACAGTTTACCAGCACCGCAAACGGCATCCTCCAAAATGAGCACGCAGTTGAATCACCACCTCTATAAAACAGTTTCAACAAAAACAGAATTATAACCTTCATGAAAAGGAGGATTTATTGGAAGACTGCATTTGTTTTGGCTAGGTGTACATAAGAAACTGGCAATGTAATGTATATTACTGTATAAGTAAGCAAAATACTTTTATTTAATTGCTAATACTAGTATACTATTTAAAGGGTTAGTTCACTCAAATTACAAAAAAACAAAACATTTTCAATGCTGTGAGCACCACAAATGAAATGGTTTGCGCTCACTAGAGGTAAGTGAGACTTTATATTGTATAAAGCAAGACGGCCATTAAAGCCTACGTTTAACGCGTTTCTTTAAATTGAAGTTGAGCTTTTTTTCCCCCACCACTTGCAAAAATGGATAAATTACAATAAACTAACATTCCAGTAAGTACAGACAGTTGTTCATGTTTTGTACTAAGCTGTCTATCATGGACGCTGGAACAAGTTTGGGCCCCTTTGCAGCCAGTAGGGGTAGATGTGGGACTTACTTGCCTCACAGCCAGATTCTGCCTGGCAGTTCTGTGCACATGTTGAGTGGTAGTTTAAAGACGGAGTACTGAAATGTACTTGTTTAGCTGCATTTACTCATGGATTAGTCATCCTCTTTAATTTGTTTAAAGACTGGTTTAAACTTGTGCCTGTCTGACTGATAAGCATCAGCATTTACACTACAGATTTATAGCTATATAATATTGGAATATTAGCCCGATAATTAAACAGAATTACCGATCATTATTATTTTAACTGCTGAGAAATTCTGAGAGGATGTGGGCAAAGATTAAAAGATATAGAACCAGGATAAGGTAATATGTAGCTCTCTTAATATTCTCCCAGGGGTTATTAGATGAGCTGGAACTTTACTAACGCAGTTCAGTTAAAATAAATCATGTTAAAAGTTAATATTTAGCAATGTGCTGTTACCAGGTAGTTATGTTATGATTTACAAATGCTTAACTGGTAGCTTGGATACATTTAGTCATTTGTCACCATTCATTTACTTGCTGATTTGACAGTTTAACAGCAGCCCTCCAATTCAGTTCAATTCAATTATTAAAGCTGAGAGAACTAAAAAATCTGTTAAAAAATGAGCACACAGCAACGCAATAAGATAAAGGCTTTAATACACCCTTGTCTGTAAGGAAGGACATGAGTCAAAATGAAAAAGTGCATCTCCCTTTTAATCTGTTCAAAGATTAATTTTCACTCAATTTGTATACAAAAAAAAAAATCAAAACATTAATATATAATTTACGGCAGATGTAGCCTGTACATTTAAAATTAAGGAGGGGGGGGCAGCTTGATTCATGTCAAATGACACTGCTTCACAACTGATTTTAGTATACATTTACTGCTAATGTACAATAGCAAACAGAAGAAAGAAGATCTATTCTGAAATCAATCATACCACTCAGAAACATTTCCTGTCTGTGCTTGGGAAGAGGAGGGGCTTGACAGAAACACTCAATAGCGACCTGTGAAACAAAGCAAGAGTCATTAGATGAACCCAAACACATTGCAACCACTTCTTAATGCATCAGTGAAAGTTCATGAGAAGGACTCACGGGGAGAGTAAGACCGTGATCTGGACCTAGACCTGTAAGCCCCTCTGTAGTATGGTGAAGGAGATCGCCTTCTGAAACAAGACAATATTAACAGTTTTCTTTTGAGGGTATTTAAAACAAACACTGAACAGGGAACTACGATACCACAATGTGCAGGATTACTGCTATACGACTGAGACAGTCACCTGTATGATCTGTAGTAGTCCCTGTCGTCATAGCGATCATAGCCGCCTCTGTCGTATCCGCGGTCATATCCACGGTCATAGTCACGTGAGTAGCGTCGAGGACCACTTGGACCACCTCCACCACTACACAGAGGACGATACGAAGATTACATTTAGTTTAGGTTTCCTATTTCATAATTAAATTTATTTATTTTTACAATTTCAATTTAATTTAAAAAGATCAATTTAACAGCTCATCTCTTTCACCTAATGTAGTGTTATTTCTACCTGACAACAGTCAGAAATTTCTGTCTCTGAGTATGACGTGACATCAGCTCTGGAGGAAGTGATTACCCACCTCTGATACTACTCTTTTATAATTACACAGCTACATTTGTCACTTTATTTAGAAGACCAGTGTGTAGGATTTGGTGGCATCTAGCGATGTAGTCTCAGACTGCATCACCCTCCACTTCCCAGCACAAAGGAGAAAGTATGATGGCAGGAAAACATACAAACGCCCCTATCTAAGGCCAGTGTTTGGTTTGTCTGCTCTGGGCTACTCCAGTGGTTCAACATGGAGACATCAATGGACGGTGACCTTGTAGATATAAAAGGCAACGAAAACATAACTAATCAAATTTTCAGGTGATTATAAACTAATAAAAACATAGTTACAGATATTATATTCCATTCCTGACATGAAATTCTCCTAAATGTTACAGACACTTTGAAGTGAATTGAGGTAACCACAGCTGAATCGATTCAAGACCATTTTTACCAGATCTCGTCTCTATTCTTTTTGTTGCTTAACAAAAAGAAGCATTTATCTTTCTCTTTGATGGGTTAAATCTACAATTTGAACTAAAAAGAACAGATCTTATCTAATGAGTGGAGGCACTGGGTTTTGTTTTACTTATGTAATGAAACACTGTTTCAGATGGCTTACTATGTGGGTCGGCCCATGTAGATTCCAGGGGTTGGGGTGTGAGGTCTTTTTGTAATGGAGAAGTCCACCCTGATCCTACGACCATCCAGCTCCATGCCATTGGCTCGTTCCTTGGCCTGACAGTAAACAAACATATAAATGACCTCTGAAGACCCAGAAAACCCTCCAAAAACAGGTCTGACAGGAGCATTTGTCAACTCATATTCTTATACCTCTTTAGCGTCATCTTTGTTCTCGAAGTAAACAAAAGCGAAGCCCCTGGAGCGCCTTGACTGCTGGTCATACACAATAGAGACATCTGCCAGGGGGCCATATTTAGAGAAGACTTCCCTCAGATCCCTCTCTGTGGTGTACAAGCTCAGGCCAAACACTCCCAGGCAACAGTTTGGATCTGGATTAGCCTGCAATTTTAAAGCTATTAAGGTTCTGGTATGATCATATCAAACAAAATGGAGTTCCTTTATTATTAAATAAAGATTATAAGGATAAATAACATAATACGAAGAAAAAACATTGCACCCACAAGGGCCATTGAGTTCTTACACGGTTGCCGATGTGCCTGCGGCGGTTGGACATTGGTGAGCGGCTATGGCTCCTGCGCCGGCGCTCTCCGCTGTAGGACCTACTGTGAGATCGACGGCGATAGGACCTTGAGCGGGAGCGAGATCGGCTATAGTGTCTGCGTGAGCCACGGTGGGAATGGGACCTGTGCAAACAAAACACTCCATTCATTGTGGTTCTACGGTTACTCACACCAAATTGCTCTGCATCAGCTTCAAAAGACGAGACAAGCATCTACATATCCAGATTTTAACTCACCCAGACTTTGACCTGGACCGAGATCGAGACTTAGAGCGGGAGTGGCGGGACCCTTCTTTTGAACGGGCAGGCGAGCGAGCCGGGGAGCGGCTTGCAGACTTCCCTGAGCCCCGTGGACTCACGCTCCTGGATGCAGAGCGAGACTCCTGAACGAACCACACACACACCAACACGCCTCTTATCAGCACCAGGACAAACCGAGAAATTTGCCTGAATATTTGTATGTTGTAAAGAATGAAAACTATCCTGTGAAAAGTACAGAAAAGAACAAAATCTAGGAGTGTGGATTAGGAATGCTGGATTTTGTTGCCATGGATAATATGATATCAATATGATTACATTAATCAATACATTTGTTTACATGATTAAAAACAGAAATTTGTCAGTTGTGTAAAAATTGTAATGATTTAAACTAATGTGTGTTGTATTCAATAACAAGAACATGCACGCATTTGACAAACAGACCATAAAATTACTTAGCACAGTGACCTTATCCAGATTACTTCCTTAACTTCATTTCTGTAACTTCATTACTTCACATTATTCTTCTTTCTTCAATTGTCTTACTTCTTCTTACTTCCCCCATCTCACACACTGCCCATACTTCTTCCCTCCTCATGTTTTAGCATGCATTCAACAATTCAGCTTCACACATCTGAGCTTCATATTATTGAAAATAAAGTAGACATGAGACTTCTTCCGTATTTTCTTCGTCCAACCTTAACCTTTATGAAAAAGAAAAGGATGAAGAATATATGACTGCAATTAAAACTGCACCCTCATTCAACTTTTAATGTGTTATTACGATCTTATGACATGCATGGGAATGTTTAAGACCACATAATACAAATATTTAATATTAGTTGTATAAATATTTCACTTTCAGTGGTTTTACATTCACTGTTATGTCCTATGGGCCACTTTCAGTTAGAAGTCTATGAAGCATCTTAAGTGCAAACATTAATAAAGAAAGATGATGCCAAAGCATATGAACACACATTCATCTAATATTTTACATTCTGGTTGTATGTATCTTGGACACTTAAGTACGATGTCAGACACACAAGGTTGTCTGCATCAGGATTATTCTACCATTCATATTCACAATATGGTATAAAATAATGAAATTAAATATTAATTATTTTCATTTTTAATTCATTGTGTTCCTTCTTAAATAGATCCTATTGACATAATTTCTGTAAAGTGGCCTCTAAGGCATAAAAGTGCATACCACTGAATGTGAATGATACCAACTCAAAATTAAATAAATCTAGACTAGTAGCCCCAAACGACCTCAAGATGCTGCCACTCATTTGTATTGACTTGCATCATTAGCACTGATAAGGCAGACATGAAACATTGGGAGCCAATCTTCAGCACAAAGCTGTAGATATACCAAAACACAGTGGCACACATAAACATATACTCATTGTGGTCTTGTATTGTTCATTTAATTAAACAAAAACCAAAGAAATCAAGGGTGTAGGTCACATAATTATATAAAAATGACTGAATATAATGTGCAGTTATATTCTAATTTGTTCAGAAGAACTGCCTCCATATACTTGTGATAGACTAAATTACAACATGTTCAGCTGTAAATTGTCACAAAAAACTTATTATTTTAACACAAAACAAGCAATCTCCTCAGATACATACAGAAACAAAATAAGTTACATAGTATGTTGTAAACTAATCTGGCCTCAGACTTGTCCTAAACCAAATCTCTAATTTCCCCTTACTCCCAGTGAGCCTGTGAACCCTGCTTAACACTGACCAGAGCCAAAATTCAAAGACATGTGAGACTAAACACAGAAATGTAATTAAAGTCTATGGGGTTTATAATCCACAGTAAATTGTTTTATTAAACATATAAACATGTTTTTTTGTGCAAGTTAATGCAGATGAATAAGCAGAAATCTTGAGGTCGTTCGTTTTAAAAATTAAAACAGGGCTACAATGACTATTATACACCATTATGTTGTTTTGAGTTACACAAGTCACCACGCCCAAAATGAGAAATCATAATACTAATAATAATATTCTAATAATTAATTTTAGCAAACGTAAATTCACATCACTCAATCGAGATCTTGTTTACTGTCTCAAAATGCATAAAACAATCACAAAATTAAAATGCGTTAAATCAATTTCTTCTGCAGAATGAAGCTAATGTCGACACAGAAAACGATAAGTCCTATAAGTTAACCAGGTTTCTGCACACAGTCCGTCTGCACAGTAAATAAATAATATATATAAATATATTTATTAAAGGTGTTTTAACACGTCTGCCCGCTTTAACAACGCTATATATCCACATCGCTGACTTTATACTGGATGCATACTTAATGTGAACGATAAACATGAATGAATTAATCATTATTCACAGGTTCTGGTTGGTTTTAAGAACATTTGGAGCTGCTTGATTGAAGTTCACATCGCGGTGTTTGAGGCCTGTGGCCTAGCTAACACTTGTCAGCTAGCGTTAGCCAGCTAGCGGCTATTAGCAGACCGTAGTGTGTATTGAACACTGCCTTAAGCTCATTAGCTGATCAAAATTAAAACGGCATGCTATGATAAATCATAAATAATAATAATAATAATAATAATAATAAATGATAATTCCGGATGCGTGTTCCCCCTGAGAGAGTTGAGCTAGCTAGCTAACGTTAGCTAACACTGGCTGCTAGCGTTACGACTTTCACTTCCACACAAACGAATCGTTTATTTATCATTAAATCCATAAAAAACAAAAACTGTACGATGAAAGCATTCACAAAGCTCATACGTACCCGTCCGCCGTAGCCTTTGTCGTTTTCGCTCATTTTGAGTGACACTGGCTATATTGAAATGACAGATTTGTGTTAGCTCACCAGCTATCTACAATGTGTGTGTGTGTGTGTGTGTGTGTGTGTGTGTGTGTGTGTGTGTGTGCAGCCACTCTACACCCCCTCCTCTCCTCTCCCCATCGCTGGGTATGGATATTGTTATGATAACATGGCACTGAGGGGCCACATGACCATTAATATAGTTTCCTTTAACGAGGCTCACTGTTAACTTTTTAGCTTCAAACTAAAGTTGCATTCAGGTGACTGTCAGTAAAAGAGGAGACAGGAAGATATAATATGATATAGACCTTTTATAAAAGTTGCTGATTTAGTGATTTAAGTTTTAAGAAATCAAGGTTTCCATTCTGCCTTTAATTAATAGCATGTTGTAGTATCTAACTGCATGTTTTTATCTACCTGAGACACCAACGTTGTTATATTTAAGATAAGATAAGATATTCCTTTATTTGTCCCACAATGGGGAAATTCCAATGTTGCAGCAGCAAAGTGGATAGAGAAAAAAACAGTATAAGAAACAGTAAGAGTTGGAAAATAATAAATAAAAACACTGTAACAGTAAGAATCCACAAACAACAGATTACACAAATAATAGCAGCAGTTGCACACGGGCAATAGATTGCACAGTGAATATGGTATTGCACAGTAATTGTTGCACATTGTTATTGTCAACATTATTATTATTATTATTATTATTGATGCCGAGATGCAGTCTGACAGCAGCAGTAAGGAAGGACCTACGATATCTCTCCTTCGCACATTTGGGGTGAAGGAGTCTGTCGCTGAAGGAGCTGCTCAGTGTAGTGATGGTGTCCTGCATGGGGTCGGAGACATTGTCCATCAGTGATGATAGCTTTGCTATTATCCTCCTCTCTCCCACCACCAGACAGAGCTGGCCTTCTTGTTTAAGGGCATTTTATGAAATTATGATTTTTCTTTACTATAGTATGAAGAAATATTTCTTAAAAGATGTACCCTTCTACCAGCCACTGTTTCATAATGTTTTTTTCTCACTTGGAAGCCAACAAGAAAGATTTTTTTAACACCTTGTCAGCAGCTATGAATGCATGCCATCAACACCCCAGCACAGAGCGGTCTGTTCCTGCTATCTGTTCTATACCGTGTTTCTTGGCCTTTTCCTCTTTTTCCTCTACCACTGCAGCTGTATTTAGCAAGTGAAAAGCAGAAAACTGATGCCTGGGACAGGAAAACACCCCAAACACAAGGGGACTTTGTTTCTGTTTCATTTAATTTGTCTGATTTTAAATTACTGAAACTCAGGGTTCAGTGCTGTGGAAGGTTTGTGTTTTAATAAAACCCTAAATCATTCTACATGAGTAAATGCAGGTAAACAGATCTGTCACTTTCACGCAGATCTGAACAGAAAACGATAATCTTGTCAGACTGAAATTCACCTGAAAGCAGTATCAGATGTGAGAAAACAAACCATTCCTTAATCTTACTGTTGCATTTTCTTTATTTGAAGTGAGCAGAAGCCGAGAAGGAGGCAGAAAATGGAACAAACTGATTTCGATAATGGCAGTGGCAGGCATGTAAATATGTATCGCAGTGCTCATAGTAGTTATATTAGAGAGAAATGCAGCTTTCAGTTCTTACTTATCCTTTTATTTGCACCGTATCACACTTTTAATTGCAGATTGTACTCAGAACTGACTGAACACAATCTAAAAGTGCAGACTAGAACTTGTGATAATAATTAAAAATACTAATAGAGGAAAAGGGTATTGCTATAAAGTTATACCAGAAGTTATAATGAACCATTTTCCACATCTGACACGATGAGATTTTAACAGAACATGTGTGAAAATGAGTGTAACACCCTGGATTCCAGTTACTCGTTGGCACCTATAGTGGGGAGCAGAGAGAAAATGAAATCAATCATTTTTAATGTAAGAAATATTTTTTCCAGTCAGTACATGTGTAAGTTCACCTACCACAGTTATAAAGGACATTTATTTTATGAAGGTCTAGCATACTGGGCCCATCTCGCTGGCCAATGGGAATGTACGGATCTGGTTTGGGGATTATTGTTGGTCCACCATCCTCAGAGAAGGCGTATCTGGATGAAAGATTCACAAAGTAAACATTATTGTGAAGCCCCAGTGACACACGCAAAAGCTATAATTATGTTGCTGAAGAGAGCAGCTCACCTTCCATAATGCATCACAGAGCTGTAGTCATATGGACTGTTGAGATTGTTTGTCACCTGTTTCCTGAAGTTATGCATTTGTTCTGTCAAAACATAAAAGGTGCATAACTAACCAAGACTTTCTGATTGCAGTAACATGATGTCAGGAGGTGATAACTCATCCTAACCTGGAATGATGTTTTTCCACACAATCGAGACATAGTGGTCTCGGTCTGAGCGAGACTGCTCGTGTACAAAGCCGAGGGCGTGCATGAACTCATGGGCAGCCACTCCTGACCACATGCACCCAGGAGTCTGCAGCGACAGGGTCTGGCTTCCTCCAGTCTGCCCCAGAAACGACCAACAACTTGGGGTGCAGAACAGAAATGATGTCTCATCATAACAATGCAAAATCTCCACACAAGAATTGTGTACACAGTCACGTAAAAGCCACATGTAGCAGTCAGACTCACCCATATCTAGGCTGGATGTCAAGGAAGTTGCCTTCATGCGTGCGAGGAACAAATTTAATACATGTTCCTGAGGAAATGTCCTGCATCCCATTTTCAATGGTGATTCTGTCCATGTCGTCTAACGTAAAAAAAACAAAATGTGAGTTAAACAGAAAGATTTGGTCTCCCAGTCTCCTCATAAATCTGTGGATATATACCATATAGTGGAGAGAGGATGAAGGGCACGTAAACAAATCCATCAATTGATTTAGGCCACAGACAGGCGTTGCCAGGGCAGGTTATGGCACTCCGTACGTATGAGGTGGCAATATCTCCCTCTCTGAATGACAGTCCTCTGGGGGATCGCAACCCTGATGAGAAAAAACATTTACCTCAGTCCAGCCTACAGTATACTAAAAAAAAAATCACTTCAATTATATATAACTACTTACTCCTATTGACTAACAGGATTTGATCCATTGTGTTCATTTCATCACGGTCTGTAATTTCATCTGAACACAAAAACAAATACAGACATTAACATAATCAGAATTATCATAAAAATTTTATTTACATACATGTATAAGTAACTTTTTTCCAAGAGCCTACCAGAATATTTCCTTTTCAACCTTACTTTCCCCTCATGTACTCCGGTAGAATTCTGCAATACAAAAGTGCATTTATGTTGCAAAGCACAACAAAGAGTAAAAAAAAAAAAAAAAAAAAGGGGCATCTGCTCAAAAATATTTTCTCTTGGTACTGACCTTAACAGGTAGAGTGTACGCCTGGGTCAGCAAGCCAAACAAGATACCCAGAAGGATCATGGTAGTATGCATTCTTGTGTTTCAGACTGGTAACACCCGTTTCAGTCTGCAGTCTTTCAAAGCTACAGCTAAATGAACTCCTCACCTCCTCTGATATCTATATACCCACTTCTCCTCCAGCGCTCTGTACTGATTGGGCACATATTCTGTGATGAAGCACAATTAAGACCCCTCATCATCCGCCGTATGTAATTTACTCAAGTCCACTGCTGATCCGTAACAGGTGGTCCTGATGCTGACCTTCACGCGTGCCCTGTACTTAATGCAGTGCGTGTTACGATTCAGCACTTTCAGAAATGAGACACTTAAAGGTGTTTTGCTGTTGGTCGTGCTACAACTCAGCAGTTGCGACCGGGAGAATAACCGTCCACCCAGTCCAGCAGACCAGCAATTTGTGCCTCACTGTACTGGCAACTAGTGATTTTGTGATAGCTGATAACTGTCTTGACAACGATCATTTGGTCACATAGGTAAATATATAAAAACAAAACCTTATCCTTCTCCAAATATCATTTTTATCCCTATCAAGGGGCCAATTTAAAGAGCAACGACTGAGGAAAGTGTTGGCAGTTGATGAAATCTTGCCTCCATGGTCACTGCAAGAACATTGGTACTATGAAGTGTCTGTTAAGGGTGCGTGGTTTTCAAGCCTTCAAGTCTTTTCATTCCACAAACTAGAATTCAGGTAAGTGTTTCAGTCTTCCTCTGAATAAAACTATTTCTCCTTTATCTATTGTGAATGTGATCGTATTAGTTATCTTCAAAAGCCTTATTTTACTGTAGTATTATGTATGAAAACATGCGTGCAAGTAGTATATTTTCTTCAAGTTCACATCATTTCTTGCTGATTCATTAAATTGCTTATGTTGTATATATTAAGTGGATAGGGACACTTAGATGACAAATTCAAATTCTATTGTTCTTTATCCTTCCTACAACAAACGTTTACACCATGATACTGACTCACTTTCTCAACGCCAACTATGTGATCTTTAAAACACACAGGACAGCATGCACACAGAGGAAATGCTGATAGAAAGCTTGAATCAATCTTTATTGAAATTGTCTCCATGATTTAGCATCAGTTTATTATGTTAGATTTCAGTACATTCCTGTTTCACATCAGTTCAGTTTGGTTAGTAATCATCCGCGTCACCTGCAGAGAGAGACAGAGAGGAATCACAGATCTGACAAAGAGTGACATCTATACGATTATTAGCTCTGAAATAATGGAGGCTAGTTGATTCTGTTTTGGTACTGACCACACTGATAAAGCTTGTTGATTTTCAGCTTGTCAATGTGGCTGAGAGTCGAAGTCTGGCCCAGCTTTATGTTCTTGCTGTTCTTAGGAACGATGGTTGGCTCTCCATCTTGAGAGTAGGCGTACCTAAACACACACATTTTATTATAATACATGAGCCACATTAAACTATACTGAGTGATCTACATCAAATTATCACTTACATCCCAAAGTGCATGATTGAGGCATAGTCGTATGGTAGGTCCAGACTGTCCGTCTTGAATTTCTCAAAGTTCCTTACCCGATCTGTTGGAAATTCAAAAACACTTTATAGTTAATATTTATGAGCCTTAATTTAGATGTGTGCTGTTTTTGTGTACTATGTGTAAAGCACTTTACAGCTTTGGTATGGTAGTTATAAATATTCTTTAATTTACCGTTTGTGGAGATCTCACTCCCCAATGCCCCCCCCCCCCCCCTCCCCCTCCCCCTCCCCTTCCTGCCCCTATAAAATTACCCCTCCAAATGTTTGGCCACATGATGGTGACATAGTTGTCCCGGTCAAAGCGAGACTGCTCGTGCACAAAGCCCAGGGCATGCATGAATTCATGGGAAATCACTCCAATCCGGAGGCAGTCGGGGCTCTGGAGAGACACGGTCTGTCTTCCACCACGCGAACCAAGGTAGGACCAACACCTGGATTATTGATAATTAAAGGTTTATCCATTTAAGTTCAACTCATATTTCTAACAAACATTAAAAAACTGCTATAAAAGAACACCAACATGATCAAACTTTCCTCACCCAGACTTTGGCTGGATGTCGATGTAGTCTCGCTGGTGAGTCCGAGGAACAAACCGCACACAGGTACCTTTCTCTATGTTTTCCATCCCTTTCTTTATCAGCTTTGTCTCCGTCTCAGCTGTTCATTTAAAGGTTTAGACAGTAAATTGTATAAATCATCAAACAGAAAGTTGGTGAGTCTCAAACAAGTACGGGTCTGTAATGTTATGCATTAATTAACACGTACGTACAGTAATCAGGTGAGAGCCTATATGCAACATAGACATGTCCATCCACTGACTTAGACCAGAGGCAGCTACGAGCGAAGCAGACTTTGGCGCGCCTTCCAGCTGTAACAGCAATGTCTCCCTCTCTGAGACTGGTAGTGCCGTCTATCATTCGAGAAGCTGAGACAGAAATTTGGGGGGAATTAAACAATCCCACATAGGGCAACAGGAGCTCAACTGCTGCAGTATGTCGTCCAAAATGCAAAATAATTAAATTAAATTGTTTGCAACTTACTATGAAACTCATTGGCTTTTATGATTTCATCCATTGCTGTCCTATCACCATGCTCTTCACGTTCTTAGAAAGACAGTTTTTAGTCAGTGTGTGTGTTTTTAATACGGTCACGCTCACATTAACTGAAAATAAAATCCAAATTGTGTTTACCTTTAAAGCCGATGGGGCCCCATTTTGGGCTGAATAAAAATTTCTGCAATAAAAAAAACAGACAATTTTTTTAGGCAATCCTGTTGCAGTTTGTAGTTGAACTTACAGTCCCACTCCAGCCCCGTGCATATTTACCTGAGCGTGTATGGCCGAGATACAGGTGGAAACCACGCACAAGAGGATAATCCGCTCCATCTTTGCCAGTCAGATATGTCTTCAGTGTTGCCATTTCACCTGTACTAACACCTAGCTTTATAGGTGTCCCCTGTCTCTGTCCTGAGATAATACCCATGATTATCTCAGGTAAATTACAGGGATACTGTTATTTGTTTGTGAGTGAGTTTAATCCCCAAATTAGTTTGATTCTTTCATAAACAACAGCTCCAACAGCAGGATAATGTGAGGTCTCACTGTGTGTAATAACAGCTCCACTTCAATGACTAGCTTTAAATTAAATGGTTTAATGTTTGGCACAGGTTTGGGTCAATTTTAGGCTTTAGATGTCTCATACGTTTACCAGGAGTGCTGTTTTCTTTCTACTGAAGCTAAGATTACCAACAGTTGACATGTTGAGCTGCTAATTTCAAATGATACATAACTCATGCAAAATCCACGTGTTAATAACATATTCTCTCAAATTGGTGTTCATTAGTTGTACCATCGTATTGTCACAATAAAAGAATAATAACTTAAAAATAACATATTCCCATTTTCTAAATATTGTAAAAACAAAAACATTGACGCCCGAACAGGGACTTGAACCCTGGACCCTCAGATTAAAAGTCTGATGCTCTACCGACTGAGCTATCCGGGCTCTGACATGTGAACCGGAAGTGGTCCTTATAAATGCCGGGGAACCACTCCACCCGGACACGAGTTCGAATCTCACCCGAGGCAGGTCGACAAAAATCCGGCAAGAAAATTTAAACACAAGAAAATAACATGGTCGCATTTTTTGACCTCACATATGACCCAAAACAACGCGAAAAATGTACGGTAGGTCGCACATTAGTTAGCTGTTACCTCTGCTAGTTAGATAACGTAGTTAATTAACGTAAGCAAAGTTTGACGTCGATGGCTACAGCTAAAAAAATACTAAAGTTACAAATTAACCATAATATTAACGTAAAGAAACTTCTATGGCGGGTCGCAAACACTACAGCGGGTGTTTTAAAGTCTGTGTTGAGAAACTAAATAACGGTATGTTGACGTTGCAGCGTTAATTGATGTATTTAAATTACAGAAGCAGCTCATCAAAGAGCTCGAAAATGCAATTCAAGACAACACCGACAGACTGGAGGAGGTCGGGCAGAGACGACTGCGAGCTGAGGAGGAGAAAATTAAATGGTACCGTGGATATGTTTCACGTTATTTAACGATGGTTTCATTAACTTGGTTTAAAAAGAAACATTGTTGTTCTCCCTGAATTGCCATGTTCATTTTAGTGTCATTGTTAGCCAGAGTGAAGGGCAGCTACATTAGGTTTTTGATGTCTTTTTATCTTTACCGTTATTTGTTTTAACAACTTATTATTTTTCAGCCAGTATACATACGTTTGGAGGAATGGAAAACCTCCAGACTTCTTCTCTTAATCAGACCTCCTTGTAGTTATGTGCTGATACTTTCCTTGCTAGTTTCTGGCTCCCTTAAATTACTGTTTCTAAGATGAGTCGTATCCCTAGTGGTAGTTTGGAGTACTGCAGGGGTTACGTCACTTTATTTCATTATTTAAACTTAATTTAACAAAAATATGTCATGCATAATTCCTATAATATCACTATAGGTTAAATAGAAATAGAAATAAGTTAGATAAACAATGTCGTAAACTGTGAAAATTACAAAGATCGAAGAGCTAATGTTTCTTTAAATAAACAATGATGCAGTTCAGTGCAACTACAGTGCTGATAATGTTGTTGCATGATGACAAACTATGGGTTTGTCATGAGTTTGATGGATTCTAAACATTTTAAATTCAGCATTTAAGTGGTTTCTTAATAAATCTGATACAGACAGTGCAGTGAGTGCTGTATTGTACCTCTTTATAAAGGCTAATGAGAAAAGTTAAGTCACTCAACTTGTGTCTTTATAGTCACACAATTGATAACATTTTGGCCAATGAACAGCATTAATATAGCATCTTTTAACTTTTTTCACAACACTTAAATGATAAAAAAAATCAAACAAATGTTCAATGAAGCACAGTCACCAGCTCAGTGCACATCTCTCTGGTAATAGGCAACAACTTCATGAATCCTGTTCTCACTTGCAGTACCAGAGAAACTGAGCGGAGAGCGGATCTGATGGTGGAAAAAACTGAAGCCGTTGAGTGGTTACAGGAACTGGGGTCTCGGCTACAAGAGGAAAAGCACCTTTCTGAGCAGCTGAACGGTCAAACCTCTGCAGACCGGTAATGTGCTGCGTGAGAATGACCTTGCATAACAAAAATTGTTGCTGTGTCTAGACTGATTGCACTGTATATTTATTATCTCTCAGAAATCAAAGGAAGGAATTGCAGCAAAGGAGTGAGTGTCTCACAGACAAGGAGAGTAGCCTCGCTGCTGTAATTCTAGAGGTGAAACGAGCTCTGGCGGAGGCCAAGGCCCGTAATATGGCAGGTAAGGGAAGTACGGGGTGTCTACATACTGATAAAACTTGTTTTTGAAATGCTGTTTTTAATACGCTCTTTTTGTCAACAGCACAAGCTTCAATCTGTGCACCAACCAGCAAATCAAAGAGAAGGCAAAACAAACCCAATTGAATCAGGATTCTAGTGTTTGTTTTGTAGATTACAGGCACTTTTTTATTGCATTTGATATGTATGTAATTGTTTGTATATTGTGTAGCACCCAATAAAGTGTTTTTTTTTATCTTGTCTCAGAAGCACTTGTACTTAATAGCCCAGCAGCAGCTTTTTAGACCTTTTTTATATTGGACACGAGACACTAAGTACATTAAAGTACTGTGATTACACACTGTTTCATTAGTGGCTGTCAGTCCATCCACCAGTTCACATCGTGCAGACGAGTAGTTCAGATTTATTTTTACATTAAGGAGACTATTTGTACTAAACTAGATTTTAAGACAAATATTGTACTTTTTCTGTAAACTTGGGGATTGTATTTGACACACTTAAAGAATAACATAGCATTGCCCATGCAGCATTTCCATCTTGTTTCTTTAAAATCTTAATCCACAGGCTGTGTCGGAGTACGTTTGGGACAAATACTGGTTATGGGAAGTTAATCTGTCTACCCTCACCCTACCTCTAGTTTTAAAAATACAAAAACAAGTGGGGGTACTCCAGTGTTGCAGTAATACATGATATTATTTACCATTAAATTGAGTTAAACCTGAAGTGTAAAAGGGAAGCTAATATTGCTGATTTGAGAAGAATTTTCCTCCAAATTGTGCAGCTCTACAGCTTTCAGTCCATTTCAGCTCATTGCTTTGTTTTAACATATTAAAGGATCTTTAATACTAAATATAAATATCCTTCCTCTAGAAAGATCACCTGGTGGCTGATGCACCTTTTTCCTGTTGTACATGTGCTGACATCCACTCACATACTGTTCCCAGTCTTTATTAGTTGACTGGTGGTTTCACATATATCAGAAAACAAAACACTCCCTTTATTTCAGACACACCCAGTATTCAGTCTGTTTTTAATAAATATAAACTGGCCTGTGTGTGTGTGTGTGTGTATACATGCATATAAATATAAATTGACACACACAAGGAAATAGTAAAATGGGAAATCAATACAAGAATAAACCAAGGACATATTCAGATGAGAAAATTCAAATAAAAAATGTGGTAAAAGGCAGATGGGATTAAAATAAATTAACATATTTTATCTAGTTTCTTTACCCCAGACTAACATATAAATGATGTTATTAAGTACTTTACTCTATATTTTACTCGTCTGATCTTACTGTGCAGTATTTCTAAAAGTATAAAACCTCTGAAACGTGTGTAGGAATCATGGGCAAGTTTGCGACTTGTGAACGCCTTCCCATTTTGACGCTCTCGGGCTTCCGTAGAGATGTCAGGAAGAAGGATAAGCAGCATAACGTTATTGCAACCTTTTTTTGGAGGGACATCCTTCTACGGTACATATTTTGCTGTTTTTAAGTCAGTTAACTGTAACGTATATATTAGTCGTAATACACTTAAACACCTGTTAGTAAAGGTAGCTTTATTGTCGATAATGACCACTATTAGTCATTACTACACGTGTCGTTCAAAGAGCAGATAGTAACGTTACATCAGCTCAGATAAGGCTGTGTTTGTTAGTTTTTTTTACCAAAGTATAACATTAGTTTGACAGCAAATGTGAGACAGAGAGAAGAGGAGTGAAGTGAGTTGTTAACAACAGACTGGTGGAGTTAATTATTGTGGATATGTCGAGACGAAGCGTGTTATTTTGGATAACTCACAGTAGGTTTTGTCTGTTGTTAATGTTTCTTTACAGCAGGTCATGAGATAACAGGACAATGACGAACAGTGCAGACTACCGCTCCATCTTTGATTTGTGCCCAGATGATGAGGCTTTCATCGGGCTGAAGGAGGTGAAACAGGCTGTGAACACCGACCCTGCCTCAGACGGTATGTATATTTATATATATGAGCCCCAGCTGTGGTTTATGTAGTTCAGACATTACCCTTAATTTTCTGTCATGCTTGCACACAGAGTTGGAGGAGAAACCCCCAGAGGATGACGGTCAGCGGGAGTCCAGCCTGGTTAGAGAGGTGTCAGACAAGGTGGTCTGCTCGGCCTGCAGATGCCCCTTCAATAATCGTGAGGAGCAGGTGACCACACACACAACCACAACACTGCGCTGTCCATTTATATCTGTTGATGTTATTGGAAGACTTGGAATGAGCGTTGGGGTTTGTCATTTGAGTTTAAAGTGTGTTTTGCATTTTCCAGATGGAGCACTACAAGCTGGACTGGCATCGGTTCAACTTGAGACAAAAGTTGTCAGGGGTCCCTCCGGTCACAGCTGAGGAGTTTGAGAGGAAGACTGGAGCTGGTGAGTAAACCTGCACATCTGTCAGGAACTTTATTTTTTATTGAGGGAGTCTGATTACAATATAATCAATATTTCATTGCTTTAAGTCATACTATTGTCATCACAGGTAAACACATACACAGACATACACCAAACAGGACAACATGAAGACCAAACAATACATTTTCCGGCTCCATTCAATCTACAGAGCTTCATAAATAGATCTCCAGCTCTTCATTACTGTTGTCTGACATTGTCCTTTCA